GAGGTTGAAGTTGGGCATCTGCATGTTGACGGTGCCCTGGCCCGGGCGGCCGGGGAAGGCGTTGCGCTTGTACTGGAAGTCGCCCGACTCGAGGGAGACGAGGCCGAGGGCGGCGGCCTTGGCGTTGTCGCTGACGAGGCCGTACTTCTTGAAGCCGGCCTCGAGGAAGGGCGCGGCCTGCTCGGCGGTGCGGCACTCGTCGGGCTTCTTGGCGCTGGCGCAGCTCACCGACTTGGGGGCGAGGATCTTGAGGGCCTCGACGAGGTCGACGGAGCGCTTGTGCGGGTGGGCGGTGGTGAGCGAGGCCAGGCCGAGGACGGCGATGGCAGCAAGGTTGGAGAACTGCATGTTGATGTTGGTGATTGATTGATAGATTTTGTATTGACGGTTCTGGTCTGGGTATATATCTCTGAGAATGGAGTGGAAAGAAGACGCAGTGCGTGACTAGCAGGCAGAGTGTGAATTGAATGAATCGAATGCGAAGCGAGATGCGTCAAGCAGCCTGTTCGATGGAGATGTGAAATGAAAGAATGGACCGGAGAATGAGTGTGTGCGGAGGAAGAGTCAGACACACGACGAGAAGGAAACGCTGAGATTTATAAATGCCGAGACAAGAAACTGAGATGAGAAATACTGAGGAAATGCTACTAAAGATGAGACGACAAGGACGGGGCTGCAACCATCTCGGGGGATTGTTTTATAGATGCACAAGCCTGCTCCATTCATGCCGATCTAGGCAAGTCCTGCACCGCATTGTTCGACGTCCATTTTTACCATTGGGCAGTGCCCGGCCTTGTCCCCAGCCAGGCTTCTCTCTACCCCCGCTGGCGACAAGACAAGTCAAGATCAACGGCACCATTGTCAGCAGAATGCGAGCCCTACGTGACCAAAGCGCAGCAGAGAAAAAGCAAAGCAGTGCGGCACGGACAGGGGCCGTCCACAGTGAATGGTCAGGGGGCACTTGTTGCACCTTCGTCTGGTCCTGCAGCATGACAGGCTGTTGAGCAGCGGCACCATCAACGCCACTCACCCCGTAGCTCGATTTGCTGGCGAACCATCTTGCCGGCTTGCCGCTCTGACCTGCGCGCTGTGGCTGAGAGAATCTGACAGATGAGCGTCTTGGGGGCTGGTTGACTGCCTCCAGCCCGACCGCTGTTTTCACCCAGCACCAATCACCGCCGCTCGTTGCCTCTTCGGCTGCTGCGGCTGGAACGTTGCACATCCCCACGGCTCTGTGCCGATTGTTGCTGCTTCCGCGCGCGGTTGCCCCTGAATGGATGGATTTGATGGATGGATGGACTGGAGTCGTGAGGCCGGACCGCCCATTCGGATAACAATCAATCAAGCACCGCGCGGGACCGATACTGTCTATGCCCATCGCTGGCAACTGGCACATTGCTACTCAGAGGCAGGCCTTCAAAACGCGGGACCATCCTGCTTCCAGCAGCTCCCAGGCAGGCGACTCCGCCGCGGCATGGGCACGCATGGCGATCCGAACGCGAAGGGCAGCTAGTCACTCTGTTTGAAACAGGGGGATCCATTGGGTACGGCTGCCCCTGACTGGGCGATCGGCACTTGTCCCCAGGCCAGACCAGAGGTAGCGGCAATCACAGCTTGCGACGAGCCTCTGGCCTTCACGTAGTTACGGGCTAGATCTCAGGAGAAAAAAATGAGGAGGTCCCCATCGTTCATGTCCTGTCGACGGCCTGATCTCGAAACACGGCACATAGATGGAACACAGCAAACATACAATGCGTCGCTGTGAGCCAGCGGCCCATCGCTTGGCGGGATCTAAGAATAGGCAATGAGCCATGTAAAAATCAATCTTCCCTCCTGCTTGGCGCTGCGCAGCCAACCGAGCGAGCAATCATCCAAGACAGACATGCCCAGTGATGGCATAGCCGTCAGCTGTATTTCCCATGTGTTGGCATCATCAGAGAAAGCCACTCTTCCAGCCTTTGCCTGCCAATCGTATCCAACAATAGGATTGCAGGGCTCTCCGCCACAGCATCAGAGTAAGACATACAAGCCATCGCGTTTACTAGTGCTCACCGTCGACGGTCGCAATGTCAGCACCGCCGTTGCCAAAAAGGGGCCCCGCGTACAGCAAATCAATAATAAGGCCCTGGCTGGAGGATTTAAATTTATTAAGCTTCAATTATGATTAATGGGTGAATGTCTGGTAAACATGAATCTTGTGCTCCAGTAGAAAGGCGCAGGTCACGCGCATCATCTTCTACCCCATATTCTAATGAGAATCATCGTCGCGATGGCAGTGCTTTTCATCCATGCCCTACTATTAATAACCCCTTTGTGCGTAGTCAGCAAATAACATTAAACATTCACAGGCGATTGATCCACCCAACACCTCCATCTCGTCGCCATTCGAAAGATGGAAATCAATCATTGTCTGCGCTCATTTGAAGTACCAGCACCGAAAACCAAGGCTGTATGTATTCCATTGTCCATTCTTCTCTTTTTAATTAATCAAATAACAATGAATACTTTGGCATTTACAAGGCGGCAAACTCCTTCCATTAAGGCCTTGAGTGAAAGTTCACAACTTGGAGACTTGCAGCGGAAGTCATGCACACGCAGGTTGTTGCCAGTAGGCCGTGCTGAGCCAGGTCCGATCTGCTTGGAGATTCTACTGGATACGCATGCATATTCTTGTCTCTCGAGAATCTAGTCCGTAAAATGGACCACTGGGAAAGCTTTAGGATAATTGAAAACACAGTATTGTACGATTGAAACATTAATACAACAGGGATACACTTCCCTCTTCTCATTCCAAGATTCCCACTCCAGCGAGTATGTGCAGTCGAAAGAACTGCACGAAAGTACAGCCTTGCATGGCTGGCGACACCTATGCACCTCTTATTTTTCATCATCCAGTACCCAGCCCACACAATAATTCAATTCACATCAGTGCAAAAAAAAAAAGCCTGCATCCACACACGGTTTGCTTGACTGCCTGCAATCACATCCACTCCTCATAGGACCCAAAGTCATCCAAAGCAAGGGTCATGCTAATCTCGACATCCTCAGGGGGTTCGTCTCTATCTTGGTCAAATCCTAGGCCCACGTCGCGATTGCCTAGGCCATCTCGCTGTCGTGATTGTTCAATTGTCGCCGTTTGGATGACGCCTGTCTGGACCTCGTTCTGGGGCATGGATGGTGAAGGTGGTGGTGGTGGTGAATGTCGGGATCTTGGCAAGTTATGAAAGTAAAAGTCACTGGCACTGTCCAGGATGGATTTGATAACCGACGCGAAGTCTGTGTCATTTGACATTATGGTTGGGAAGTTGGTCCGGAAGGCGACCAAAACACCGGGATAAATGAGATCCTTGACCTCTTCGATTTGGTTAGGCTTCACATAAGGCGAGGAAGGTGGCTGCACCCCGGGAAAGAGCTGGTTCCAAATGGCCAGCCAGTGGCTACGGGGATCAGAACCCCGGAGCGACTTGATGTTCTTTACCTCTTCAGGTGAGAGTTCCTCTGGCGGTGGCCGCTGTTGACAATTGGCATGGCGAAGATGATGGGTTTTGGATGTCTCGTCTTTGAACGGGCTCCAACAGATTGAGCAAGAGTGGGAGGGCAACGCATGGCGACGGATGAGATGCTGCTTCACATCCGAGATTCTTCTGAATTGGTGCTTCTTGCACTGATCATACGTCTGGGGATTGAATTTGTATAAGGGGCAGGCAAATGGGCAGGACCCATCTTCATGAGCTTCAACCCATGACTGGACAGGTTCAACTTCGAAGATCGGATGAAAGTCGGGCATGCCTTGGGAGTTGATATCTGATGGCCGCATCTATTGTTGCTGAAAGTTTAGTTTTTTTTAAAGAGGAAAAAGAAAGTAGAAGGAAAGGATGGTGTCAAAAGCGAAGATGTGTGTCGCCAGAAGGCTATTAGTACTTGACTTGTGCCGTGACGTTTGTTAGGTGAGATGCAAAGCATGCAACCTTCATGTTTTAGTGAAGTGGGGGTTACAATTGGCCGGTCCTAGATCCGACTCTCAATGGTCGGCATGATGAGATCGACCGGCCAATTGCTCTATTTAGATATTCAGCAATTACCGGTAATGCGGTGTCGCGTTGCCGATTTCAGTCGCCTTTCCATGATAGACACCGGCTTGTGGTGTGTTTGGGTTTCCAAAGACAGGGATAATTAAAAATAAAAATTGCAAGAATCCAATGTAATAGATGCTTGGTGCTCAGTATCCAATATGATGAATGTCTGGTTCTCAGTATCCAATGTGATGGGTGTCTGGTGCTTGCTGCTTCTGATATTGTGGACTGACAGGGGTAATATAGCTGTATAAAGCATAAAGTAAGTGATTAAAAAGTAAAGATTATATAATATCTAAGGAAAAAAAGGCTACCTATTTTAATCTGATCGAAGGTTTAACTATATGTGCAATAGGCGAGTCCCAATGGTGCGCGAACCACGGTGTTGACCATGCAGAGTGCGAGCCAAGTGAGCAGCGACACAACCGGGGTTGCCTATCTTGGAACATTTTTCTCTTGAGGCCTCGCTATCACCGTTGCACTTCCTCCGTATGTAGTCTATACTCTGCTTTTTGGTCCCGCTAGTGACGTGGTCAAGAATCGCCCTACAACTTGGAGCTGTTCATCACAGGTATGTCTCGTTGGAAGGTTTCCTCTTGGTAGCAATGCAACCTGCCTTGGCTTTTATCTTTACACAAAAGCACTCGGGCCCGGGGATCCTTACGCCATATACTCCCTCAGGGCTACGACCGTCTGGATCAGCATGTGAGGGAGCTTTCTGCCCAGGACCGCGGTTGCCAGTTCGGGGAATTTCAACCCTGAAGACCGAAGTAATAACAAACAACTGGGTCTGGCCGCCAGACTCAGCCGCAGTACTATTACCCCGCCTCCGGTAAGGCTTTTTTCAAAAGACCTCGCCTCTACAGGTCTTTAACCACTTTATGATCACAATATCGTTTCCATTCTATTCAGGCCGTAGGAGGCAAAATGAGCACAGTTAGTCGGCTCGGATTCACCGAGCTTGGGGTCAAGGGACGCGACGGGCCGTTCCGGTACAAGTGAGTCCGCCGAATTCTTTTTTGTCGCTCCATAACGGGCGCTAATGAGTGGTCTGACAGTGTCATCTTCGTCCATGGCCTCAAAGGTCACCCCAAACATACGTGGGGACGCGAGACGACTAGAGGGGGTACGACCCATCAAAGGATAGATGTTGGCTTGAATAGGAGAATGGTGTCCATTAGGTCTCTCCTTAAGAGGGGAAAGACCACTGGTACCGCTCTTTCGGAGGCCGGCAATCAACACAAGCCATTCTGGCCGGAAGAGTTTCTTAGTCGAGATCTTCCGGATGCGCGGATATGGACCTATGGGTATAACGCGGACGTCATTCAGGGAATGTTCCAAGCGGGAAACCAGAACAGCATCTCGCAGCACGGGAGGGATTTGTCTGCCCATTTTGAGCGGGATATCGACAACAAAGTGCGTCATTAGAGGAAGTCATTGATTATGAGCTTGCGTATGTATTGTACTAACGAAATGTAGGACCCGATCGTCTTCATAGCCCACAGCCTGGGCGGCATTCTGGTTAAAAGTGTAGGTGGGCAAGCTATGAATACAGAGACTTATTGTTTCAATTAACATTCCCCAGGTAATTCATTTGTCAGAAAAATGTCGATCGCGAACGAGGCTCATTGTTTTTCTTGGAACTCCTCACCGAGGTAGCAGAGTTGCAGACTGGGGGAAAATACTATCTAACCTGTCTCGGATTGCACTACAAGAACCAAACGCCAGGATTCTCAGAGGCCTTCAAGTAGATAGTGAGGTCCTTGAGAATATTCATGAGGAGTTTAAAGTACATGTTCATAAATGTGGATTCAAGATCTACTCATTCCAAGAGGGTCGTGCGCCGGAAACGCTGGGAATCAGTCACAAGGTGAGCAGGCCAATCTTCTTAAGCAAGCCTTATCAACTCACTCACTGTGATTTTAGATTGTCGATGACTTCTCGTCCAAGATGGACCTTCACCGTGGACTGGAGACCGTCCAGAGTATGGATGCCGACCATAGACAAATTGCAAAATGCATCAATGAGGAGGACCCCCGCTACCGTGCTATTCTCGGAGTATTAAAACAATTCGCTAGTGAAGAGTTCGATTGCCTGACCGGAGAAGGAATCTCACATATTGAACCGAACAGTTCTGCGTCCAGTATCAGTAAGTAAACAGATATATTGGATTACTATGCAAAGATGCTAATCAAACATATGCTAGAACATGCGACCGATTATACGGATGGTAACACCGATGTACAGCCAATGATCCAAGAGAGTGGTCCTAGGCCAACCTTTAACCCTATCTACTACCTCCCATTTACTGCAAACAGAAAGTTCACTGGTCGAGAGAGCGTGTTGCAAACTATCCAGGAAAAACTCTTCTCTGAGCTTCCATGCCAAAGAATTGCGTTAGATGGTTTAGGGGGTGTCGGTAAAACCCAGGTAGCCCTCCAGTTTGCCTACTGGATGAAGACCAACCAGCCGACATACTCCGTCTTCTGGATTCCGGTACTCAGTGAAGCGAGCTTTGAGCAAGCATATATGGAAATTGGCAAAGTGCTGTCTGTACCGCGCGAAAGCGACGAGGACTATAAGAAAACCGTCCAGCGTTACCTCTCCACAGAGAAGGCGGGCAAGTGGCTGCTCATTATAGACAATGCGGATGATAGGGCTATGATATTTGGGGCACCTGGGAAACCTGGAGTAATCAACTTTCTGCCTCAAACCGATCATGGCCTTTTTTTGCTCACCACCAGAGTCAGAGAGATAGCCATATTATTTGCAGAAACAGATGTCATTGGTATAAACGAGATGAGCTCACACGAAGCAAGAACTCTTCTGGATAAGAGTTTGATAACGAGAGAGGAAAGTCCTGACGAACACGTTGATCAGCTTTTGAAGGAATTGAGCTATCTACCTCTGGGTATTACACAAGCTGCTGCCTATCTCAATCGAAACTCGAATATATCCACGAGAAGATACCTGGACCTTTTACGTGGGGCCGAAATTGAGAAAGCTCAGGTGCTAAGTCGAGGGTTTCATGACCAACGGAGATATTCTGGGCTATCAAACGACATAATGTCAACCTGGCTGGTATCGTTCAGCCAGATTGCTAAAGAGGAACCGTTTTCTTTCAAACTGCTCTCGTTCATGGCGTGCATTGAGCCAAGAGCTATTCCCAAGATAATTCTGCCCATCGGCAGCTCAGAGGAAGAGATGGAGAACGCGATAGGAACCCTCTGCGGTTACTCGTTTTTAACCCAAAGGCAAGATCCGAATACGTTTGACATGCACAGACTGGTTCACCTGGCAACAATTCGCTGGTTGGAAGGTCAAGGTATGACGCAGGAGATTCTGACGGATGCAGTTCAAGGGATTTTCGAGAACATGGCAAAGCAGTCGGCTGCTGATGAATCGTCGGCCTATTCAAAATGGAGACAAATATTGCCCCATGGGTTGAGACTGATAAGCCAAAGCGAATCCCTCTACAGCGAAGATTTATGCAACCTATGTCAGTATGTTGGCACATGTTTGCTCACGGAGAGACGGTTCAAGGAGGGCATAGACTGTCTGCACAAAACTGTAAGCTGGGGCAGGGCAAACCTTGCCCGGGATGATCATCTCAGGCGAGACTTGGATTACATGCTTGCCTATGCACTACTTCAAGAAATGCGCGTGGACGAGGCAATTGAGATCATCGAACCAATCGTGAATTCAAACAAAGAAACCTTCAAAGATGACGAGGAATTTCTATGCAGTTCAGAGCATCTGCTTGCAAGCGCTTATCTCGAGAACAAGCGAGTGGATGAGGCCATAGAGAGGTTTGAGGCCATGTACAGGAATGCTGGAGAGGATACAACAAATTTTGGATTTGGTCATATCGGGCATCAGCTTGCCAGTGCTTACGTTGAAACCGGACGTGCTAAAGAGGCAATCGAGATCCTTGAACCCATTGTGCAGGACAAGCGGCGAACATCAAGAAAAGAGGACCGAGACCGGCTTTCTTCGGAGCATGAACTTGGTAGGGCATATATTCAAGAGGGCCGATTTCATGAGGCAATTGAAATCCTCGAGCATGTGATCAACGTTCAGAAAGAGTATCAAAGGGAAGATGACGGTGCACGACTGGCTTCAGAACATGAGTTTGGTCTGGCTTGTCTCAGATCCCGGCGCATTAAAGAGGCCATTGAGGTATTGGAACATGCTGTTAAGTTTCGGAAAGTGGTTTTGGGTGAAGAGAACAACCTCTCTCTCGTGTCGGAGCATGAGCTTGCACTTGCATACCTGGAAGATGGGCGTATCGAAGAGTCAATCGAAATACTGGAACGCTTGGTTCGCATTAGGAAGGAGACCTTGAAGGAAAATGATGAATCACGCTTAGCTTCGGAGGGTGCCCTTAAGAGAGCATATCGACAACGTAAATCTTTTTCATAATTGCCACGAGCCAAGTTCCTTGAGCAGCAATGTTCGTGCCAGGAGCTATGAGGATTTGTGCAAGGAGGTTTTAATCAGTCGGCGACTGAATATTGGTAGTTGCAACTCAGTTATCTTATATTGTGAGAACTTCGTTGATGAACTGAGTGCCCGGTTGACGACTTCACGGGGACGGAGAAAGTCGAAGAGGAGAAGTTTAATAACCGAAAAATACGACCCAACACGATATCTAAAGAAGAATATCTCAGATAGTATCAGTATATATCATCCCATAATATACTGCGAACTTCAACGGCTGATTCAATACATAGGGGGAGGACTGGCGAAGGCTTCCGCTGGACTGTTTCTCCACGTCAGTTTCGGAAGATGATTCCCCAAGGCCATTGAAATAATCTCCACAAGTAATTGTGCAAGGCAACCATTGGATCTTCTAGGAAGAAGAGAGGGGTTTATCAACAGATGTCAAGTGTCTGCTCAAATTATACGTTGATAATAAACTACCTAAATCAGCAGTGCTGGTTTCATGCTCTCCACCAGCAATATCTCAGGCCAATCACATTCTGATTGAAGGCTGAGCTGCATCTATCCTGATGTTTCGGGATAAACAGCTTTCTTTCCTTTGACGATTGCCTTGAAGAACAGAGCAATGTCTTGTCGACTCTCGAATATGGGGAGGATTGTAATAACGATGGCGCCGAAGAAACCCCAGATGAACGTGACGGCAATCCAACCGGTGAAGAATGATTTGCTGAAGATATATGAAGATCCATACATCGGGATGGGCCAGAGACTACCAAAGGTTAGTTTCATCAAAGTCGACGGTATGAGCATGACACGTACATGGTCATCGACACGGCAATGAATATGGCCGCGCCGAGTGCGAGGTTTCGTGCCTTGAGCAACGGCTTCTCGATACGCTGAAGGTTCTGCAGCTCCTCATCCGTCCTCTCCCTGGCCGTCTTGATCTTCGCGTCCGACGACTGCAGTGCCTTTTTATCAAAGCTGCTGTCGTCCACCTGCTCCAGTTCTTTGAATTTCTCGAAATCATAGTCCTCGGGCTTGATGAATGTGATGAGCGGCGTTAGAACAATGGGTGCCGTGAGCGCCAGCATGTTTCCTGCCACCGTGGGTATGAAATCCGAGAGAGTAGCGATTGACACCACTCCATGTTGTTTGTACGCAACGCCGATCCATGTGCCAATACTGGCAATGGAGCTGATGATGGGGACCAAAACAATGGCATACTTGCTTTGCTTCTTCCAGAAAAGTGTACAGGCACTTGGAATCACGGCACCTGGCTACTGTTAGTCTTTCGAGCCATCGAAGATAAATTTTAATGATGCTGACCGTCAATAATGATACCGATCGCGGTGACAATGAATGTTACTGAGAACCCGGCGTAGCAGAGACCGACGGCAATACCCGCAGTCAACAGCCCGAAACCGGCAACGGCGATGTGAGAAACAAACACCAGCCTCTCTCCTGTCGCAGTGGGGTTGATGTAGGAGCGATAGAAGTCATACGTTACCAAGCTAGTCACCGCAACAGTTTCGGAGCTCATTGCACTGGTGATGGCCTGGAACAGCATCAGCAAGACTGCTACAACCCCGCCTTTTCCCATAATAGTATATGCAACGTAAGGCATAACAAGAGCCGAGTTAATCTCGGCTACAGATAAGGGTGTTGGGTATGTCGGCCTAGAGGGGTTTAGAAGGTATATTCATAAAGTTTGAGAGCCTCGATCTTACCATGCTGGTGTATGTTCGAGAGCAGCGCCTCCAAGGCCGAACGTGGTTGAGATGCAGAAAGGAATAGTGAACTGTTGATGATGAGTACACCTTTGTAGAAAAGAGGATTTAGGAAGTGCTTACCCAGCAGAGCGAGCCCAGAAGATAGCCAGCAACAGTCGACTTCGGGTCAGCAGCAATTGCTTTCTGGAAAAGCCTAGCAATTCATGTGAGTTCCCAAATCAACCTCCTGGAGTATGCAATAGGACACTCACTGTGAATCAACAGTGGCTGAAAACCCACCACCAAGAAAAATCAAACCAATCAGACCTCCCTGTACACTCCTCATGGTTAAAAACTCGCCTCCAGCGTTACCTTCAATGGGGCGAACTTCTGCTGCAGCTTTAAGCAGCTCCCACATCCTTCCGGGGGATCCGACGTGTTCCGAGGTTGAATACATGACGAACATGCTGGAGAGCATGATGACGAAGATGATGACGGTGTGGACTATCACGATACTCTTAGTTTGGAAACCTGGCGTGAGAGATTCAATCTTAATTCTTACCCCATTCAGTAAGAAAAGTCGCCTTGATTCCACCAAAGAGAGTGTAGATACACACTCCGAGAGGAAAGAGAAAGCACACTGCAACTTTGTTGATCCCAGTCACCAAGTTGAAAACATCGGCTCCTCCAACTAGAAGATTGACGGCGATGAAAATTTGGTAAATGAGGGAGTAGACGGCCAAGACTATATGCCCGGGTGCTCCGTAGCGATGTTTAACGAGCTCGAGAAATGTGTGTGCGTTGGGTGCTTTTCTTTTGAGCTCAATGGCGAGGACGGCAAAAGTCAGAATCGGAACAGAACAACCAGCGCCGAACCTGTTTTGTCGAGATGAGCTTGATATCGATGAACACTTGTTAAGAACTCCTTACCAAAAAGTGGCAGCGATACCATATGAGTATCCAAAGACAGTAGAAGTAAGTAGAGTCGCACTCAGGGTCCAGGAGGACACCACCGAAGATGCAATAAGCCCAGCCCTAATCGATCGTTTTGCCGTCAAGTACATCTCAGAGTCTTGGACCTCGGAGAAATAACGACGTAGAGCATATGTCGTCAGTGTCATGACAATGGCGAAAAGCCCGCCTGGAGTACCAGCATCATTAGAACCAGAGGCGCAAGTCTACAGGTAAATGCTTGCTTACCTAGCCCGACGATGATTCCATAGCCCACCCCAGAGTCAAAAATGGGGAAGATCGAGTTTTCCGCCATGGTGGTAGCGCTGCGGAAGAGTGGCAAAGTTGAATGTGGCGCTTTAAGATGCGTAGTTTCGCAGACTTGCCATACTGCATGAAGCTGCCGAAAAGGTATTTGGTCTTTTAAGACGTTTCTGCATATGCTGCACGTCAGCTGCAGGAGCAGAACCAGGGTCCATGTGGTCAAACCCATATCCATGCCCAGCGGGTCGGAAGAATGGGGAGCCTCGATAGTCACGAAGACGTGACAGCGGGGGGACAATGACGACAGCAATAACATGCGGATGGTAAGGCCTGGTCCCAATTCTATGCCACTTTGACAGACCGAAATTGAAGCTGGACCACTGCTATTAGTGAGGCCCACTGAACGAGAAATACTTGGGGTCTCGGTGAAAGAGGCGGAAATAACTTACGGTGCGTAAAAGTCTATAAAGACCCATTCTGGAGAGGTGGTATTGCACCATCACTCTCCCACCATCCCATTGAACCAATACTATTATCAGCCCCTTACCTTACACTCAAACGGACGAATCAGAGTCATGGAGAGCTTCCAGGCCGAGCAGGCGCGTGCTGCAGCTAGCCGTCGTTGGAAGTCGGAGCCCAAGCCGAACACTCCCACAGAATGGGTCAAGCGAGCCTCAGAAGCGTCTGAGATCCTGAAGATAGATGCCGTCCAGAGGGATAATGAGGGCAAGCCCCCATTTGCCGAGGTCCAATTGCTCAAAGACGCTGGCTTGGTCAACCTCTTGGGCCCAAGAGAGTTTGGTGGTGGCGGAGCGACATGGCAAACCTCCTACAAGGTCACTACCGAAATTGCCAAGGCGGATGGAAGTGTGGGCCATCTACTTGGAAACCATTACTCATGGTATTATCACTCGTTGAATCGCGAGAGGCCCCAGACAAGACGACTAACTCGTGGGTCCCCATCCTAGGTTCTGGAGCTCCCAGATTCTCGGGACACCAAAGCAAGCACGACGGTGGCTACGAGAGTTTACCGAAGGAAATTACTACCTTGGTGGAGCAGTCAACCCTCGAAACGCCGATATGATCGCCAGGGACGAGGGTGATGAGCTCGTTTTCAACGGTGATAAGTTCTTCTCCACAGGTATGAGAACGAATCAACATCCCCGCTCCACCTCCATCGACTGCAGATGAATCAGCCAATACTCTCACCATCCGAAGCTAACATTTCTATTTGTCTAGGCGGTGTGATTAGTGACGTGACTGTTCTGGAGGGGGTCCTGGAAGATACCGAAAAGACGCACGTGTTTGCATTTGTCTCCACGAAGCACCCCGGCATCTCCTTCAAAGGAGACTGGGACGTTATCGGACAGCGGCTGACGGTGAGACCCTGAAACTTAGCACCTTGATCCCATTTCCACGCGAAATTCTCCCCCTGTCTTTACCTGAATTGTGATCTGATAATCTAGCGAAATAGGAATCCGGCGGCTGCTTGATCCGTGACGTTCATGTTTCTTGGGAACACATCGCAGGGTGGGATAACAAGAATCTAACGCCTCGCGACACCTATCACGACTTCATCCTTCCTCCCGTCCAGCTCCAATTTGCGGCCGTTCATCTCGGCGTGGGCATCGGGGCGCTTGAGGCGGCCGCCGAGTACACTCGCACCAAGACTCGGGCCTGGCCCTATGGCGGCGACGACAAGTCCAAGGCCACGGATGAGTGGTACATCAGGGAAGGCTATGGCCACCTCCAGGCGAAGCTATGGGCGGCTGAGGCCTTGATTGACCGCACGGCGGAGCGAGTATCAATAGCTATCCACGCCCCGCGAGCGGAGCTCACTCCACAAACGCGTGGTGAAATCGCCGTTCGTAAGTAGCAACACGCCGCCAAGTGGATTGAAAGACGGCGGAACTATTGGAAGGCTAATAAGTTTCTTGTTCTAACTCGCACGTGTAGAGGTTGCCGCTTCCAAAGCAACGGCTATCGAGACCACTCTCCACGTGAGCACTAAGATCTTCGAGTTGGCCGGCGCTCGTTCCAGCCTGGGCAAGTATGGCTTTGATCGGTATTTCAGGAATACCAGAGGTGAGATAGGCCAACTTCTCCCCCACCCTTCACTTCTTGGTGCATAGACGCTAAAATGACGAATCGACAGTCCACTCCCTCCATGACCCTGTTGCCTACAAGTTCCGAGAAGTCGGTAGCTGGGCACTGTTGCGGGAAGTTCCAGAGCCTAGCTGGTATACCTAGAAGGCTAGACGAATAAGGGTCCAAGGGAAATAGCACGGGTTCAATGTTGTGCAAAACAAACCAGGGTCTCGATGGTGTCATCTGAAGCTGGGTCCTCACTTCTCCACACAACCATGATATAATAAACCCGAACCATAGATTGAAAATTAGAATCATTCGCGAGTAATCTCCTGTTCGTTGTTGCTCAAGTCGTGACTCGCTAGCTCATACATCCGATATCCATGTATAGCTCAGGCCCAAGGTACCACCGCAGGCCTGCCACTCCCAAGATCGGGAAAGCCCTGCTCCTGCGGCAGTTTGCAAGCGACTTCGTGCTTGAGCATGGACACCCAATCCCTGTACCGGGACCATGTGAGGTGCGAATAAAAACCGTGGCCGTTGGTTTGAACCCGGTGGATTGGTAATGAGCCGACCCCCCTCATCCGATGTGGACAGGAGCCGTCTCGTCTTAGTTGGATGGAGCGAGCTGACCAAGCTTCATGCAGGCAAGCGAAGGACTACAATTTCGGCATCAGCTCTTTGCCTTGGGTATCTGGCCGTGATGTCGCAGGTGTCATTGAACAAGTTGGCGACTCTGTTACCAATCTGGCACCTGGAGATGCCGTCTTCACCCTGACGGATTATACCAACGCCCGCTGTGGCGCATTCCAAGATTACTGCATCGCCCACCATGCATCTGTTGCACTCATACCGCCAAGCTTGACCTTTGAGGAGGCTGCTTCAATTCCGGTTGGCGCAATCACTGCCGGCGTCGCCTTGAAGCGGTATATGGGCATAAGTGCCCAGAACCACGACGCCTCCCAGAAAGCTTCGAAGGATTGGGTGCTAGTCTGGGGAGGAGCAACTTGTACAGGATACTATGCAGTGCAGTTGGCGAGTCTATATGGTTACAAAGTCATTTCTGTGGCCGGTAAAGACAATATAGATTATGTGCGGGAAGCAGGTGCCAATGTGGTGCTGGATCGAGAGATGAACGATACAGAGTTAGTCGATGCAATCCAGCAAGCAACATCGGGGCAACTGAGCTACGCTTTCGACGCAGTCGGTCCTGTGACGGCCGGACTCTGTTTGCAGGCGATGAATACAGGCAAGTCTGACGAGAAGAAAACCTTGGTGGCGTTGGCTGGGATCCCGAAGCATGCAAAGACTGCTGGGCAGCCAGTCGAATTATCCAACGGCGTTTTCGTCAATATTCCCGAGATAAAAGTAAAAGTCTTTCACAATGATCCGGAATTCGGGCAGGAACTTCTTCGAGAGCTCACTACATATCTGATGAATGGGCAGCTCAAGGTTCCTCGCATCAGGATCATGGATGGAGGTCTAGAGGACGTTAACAAAGGTCTTTCATTGATGAAAACAGGTCAGATATCTGGCTCTAAGCTAGTCATTCGTGTTGACAAGACGGCCGATGCCCAGGGAGATTTGCATTATCATGGATGGTTGTAGGATATTCTAATAGAGTAGAAGACGGCCCATGTCTTATGCCTGTACTTTTTCCAGCTTGCCTGTCTTTACATCATAGATGTAGCCTGTGATAGGGACATCCAAAACAAGGGGGCTCTTCTTGATGATCTCAATGTCATCTAGGACGCTTTGCCTCAAGTCATGGAACGGCAAAAATGCAATGTGGTCTGCATTTTCACTCAACTCATTGCGGATCTTAGATTTGATCCCTGTGTCCGTGAAAGTGAGCATGCCGCAATCGGTCTAAAACATCGGTCAACGCTGCGTTAATACCCTTGCTAGGTTCTCGAGGCAATGCCGAAGAAAATGAGGAGATACATACGTGGTGGATGATAACGATTTCTCGTGTACCCAACAGTTGCTGGGAGATGACAAGCGAACGGAGTCCGTCAACCGTCCGACCTCCTGCGTTTCGGATCACATGAGCGTCGCCCTCTTCCAGTCCGAGGATTCTTGCCGGATCAAGCCGAGCATCCATGCATGCTACGATCGCCACTTTTCTGCATTGTCATATTAGGGATGAAGATCAAGACGAAGGAGGGGACAGGCTGCATGAGCTCACCGGCCGGGAGGGAGGGGCAGATCCCCCTTGGTGAAAGCCGCCGCATATTTCTGATTGGCCGCTTCAAACTCCGGAATGACAGAACGTACGAACGACATGATCAATCTGCAGAGTGTTGATCAAGGAAGGTGCCTGGGGAATGGTGAGACTGTCCGTTGTGGCTCCCTTAAATAGTGAGATTCCGTCGTCGGCGTGGCATCAAATATCAGGTTCCACCTTTGAAGCAGATGATATTATTACATTGTAAGACGCCCCCGGTTCGCACCTAAGACCAAACAACTCAAACCCGAGAATTTCCCAGCTGCATGGCCACCCCCGTCGAATGGAGTAGGACTCTCCTACTGCACCGGAAATACGGTAGGAACTAATATGAGGGAAATGGCGTAACATGCGGAGAACAGCACGCAAAGGCGCAGTGGAGACGAAGTAAGACGGGAAAATTGAAGGCTATCACCCGAATGTACTTGGACCGAGTCCTCCTCCCATTTGCTCAACTACCACTGCGTTTGTTCCCGGAGTTTCCGCATGACTCATGCTGCTGATGGCTACCGATCTGTAAATGCTTAGAAACTATCAACCATTTTCAGCGGCTATAGCACTTAAATGGAGGAAATTGTATCCTACAACCGTCAAGTCAAGCAGCAAGCATACCAGCCTGTGTCATGACATCCCAGCTTGCAAGCCCCATCACCTCGAGAGAAGTTGCGATGGGAACTTAATCAACCACACAGGACTCAAAGGCCAAATTTTGTTATTGGGTTATGCTTCTCCATTCCTCATACCTTCTGTATAATATTTCCCAGCATGTTTAAATGATGTTCCGCAAGTCTTTGTGCAGGCTACAACGAAATGAGAGGGGATATGGAGTGCAGACAGCCAATGACTTTCAACTTGTCGTAGAAGACATGATCCCAGGGTTCATTGATCAATAAAAGCAATCGTAATAACTCATGTGATAGATTCTACTAGGTAATTGTTTTGATAATTTACACATCATCAAGTTAGCTACTGAATGCTGTTATTATAAGACAAGAAATGGGATGGGAGTATAGGGTAGGTAGTCAGTCAAGATTCTTTTCTTGGCTCACATTGATCACTTTGTCAATAGTCCTGATTAACCTACTACCTATTACTATCTGCCTGGGGGTAACTTCTTGTTTTAATCAATCAGCTGAAGCTACTCACCATCATATACCTAGGTGCCTACTTATTCAATGAGAAACAGCCAGCATGTGACAATGGGGCCAAAGAAGAGGCTGCTTATCGATAGGTTTCTTATCGATAAGTTCCACCGGCAACGTCATAGCATCCAACACGGGCTATGACGCGGGACGATCTCGATTTCGCCCACCCTCCATCCACTAAAATCAAGTTTCTTGCTTGGTAGACGCGCACCTCCTTACAGATATCTACCATGAGCAGACGTGATATTGCAGACCTGGACCCTGCGTCATATCCCTGCTTCTGGAATGACGTTAATGATCGGCACAGGCTCTCTCTCGCAGCGACCACGTTTCCAACCTGCCGTCAAATGAGCACGTCGAGTACTACGTGTGTAGTCATGGGAGAATGACGGAATTTCTCTACGCGCGCAGGCTGATTTAGATATAAGAATGCCAGCCTACCCGTGGTCGCCCATAGCCCGATAAAGTTCTCGTTCAAGACATCGAAAATCAAATTCTCCGCTGCCTCGATCGACAGTCACACAACTACCGAAACCCCTACCAAACACTCATCCGAATAATCAGTCAACATGGAGTGGGCAAAAAACACCTACAACACCCAGTACGAGAACTGGGTCCCCTGGCTCGAGGACATCTACCTCCGCTGGTTCACCAAGGACAACAAAGCCAGCTACAGCACCAGACGTACGCTCGTTCCACCGCCCCTCAGCCCCAACATCACCACTTCACTACTGACACAAAACTTCCAGAGAACCTAGACAAGACCAAGGTCACGGGCATCCAACAAGTAGACACCCTCCAAGACGGCGTGAACAACATCGCCGCCTCCCAGGTCGGCCAAGGAGGCCTCCTGCAGCCCGTGTCGGACCTCGCCTCCAAGGAGGGCATCAACCGCACCGAGCGCCAGGGCAAAGACGAGGACGGCAGCTACGTGCCCACGTCCGTCCCCGGGTCCGAGGCTGCCGGTAACGCCGCCTCCACCGTGGCCGACGGCGGCAAGTCCATCGTGAGCGGCGCCACTGACGGCGTCAAGAGCGCTGGAGGGTTCCTCGGCGGGCCTTTGGAGGAGGCAAGAAGCAGGAGGGGCAGCAGCAGCAGTGATGTGTGAGCTGGTTTGCAGATCATTGAGCGGTCGGGTTTTCATTTTGTTCTTTACGATATAATATTTTTAGTGCGCAGAGATCGATCAAAAGGAGATTTCTCTTTCAGTTTTAGTTTCAGATATCCAAAACTCCTCCAATGGAATTCAATACCTTTTAGAAAATGAATGGATTGTGTGGCAAAAATCAAATCCGATGCGGGTAACACTATTTGGAACCATCACATCCAACATTATCGTCCTACCATATCCCGTATCGATCCACTCCCTGGAAATATCAGTAGACGCATTGAATTCAAATAAACTACTTGATTAGACTAGACTAAAGAATGATTCGTAATACTTGACAAAATACCATGAGACCTGCTCTCCGACAACAAGTCAACGCAAGAGAGCTCTTTTGCGGTTGAGCTTGGCTCCTTCGTGATATCATGCTCTCCGTAGTTAGCAACCATTCGTAGCGTGTTCATTTCGAGCTGTAACTAGATATACAAAGTACCAACCATGTGAGAAGTCTAGACATTGAAAATGAAAACTTTATAAATAGACATACCTTGCAGTATCGTGATTTTTTTGCGGAGTTAGGAGGCCAATGGGAGTATCATATAGCCATAGATTCGAGTTGACGTACTAGAAATACTTCAGGAATCGCAACCGCCTCTCCTCCTCCGTCATCTTGGCAAACTCTTCCACCTCCTTCTCCTTTAGAGGGGTATAGCAGTTCAGAAAGTTACGAGATAGTATGTCTCGCATCACAGAATCTTCCTTCAGGTGGTCGAGCGCCTCTTGCAAGCTGCCGGGCATCTTCACAGTCAATCCATGGGCAGTCCTCTGGCTTGTTTCAGGGAGGTCCGGAGAGTTTCTGCAGCCTGTCCGTTCTAAATTTATGTCTTCCTCCACGCCAAACAGGCCGGCTGTAAGCTATGGATTCGCGGTGCTGTCGAGCATGCGGAACTCCTAATGCTGGCTATTAACCTTGCTCGCTGAGAGGTCACGGTTGTCTGTCCCGAAACCAATGATTCACCAGCATATCCATTCACAGCGCGGACGTAACTATCAAAGTTGGCCAGTCCAAATGCGCAAAGTGATCTCACATGGGCAAGTATCCCAGCCAGGAAGTTGTCTGCATATTCCGGATGAAAACTTTGGGTAGAGAGATGGAGATCAACACAATTAAAAGGCCCGTTCAGCAAAGGCTTGGGGGCCATAGTGGCTCGAAGATTGTGACGCAGGCAGATCGTTCGGATCGTTACTTGTGCGAGTATCAGGCTATCAATGGCTTCGAGCGGTGTCTCTGGTATCAGGGAAATTTTAAGCTGATCGGCAAGTCCAGTGTTGAAGTGCTGGATGGGAATATTGGACGTGCGGAGTGCTTGGAGAATCTCGTCCATGATATCAAGCATTTCGGTCCTGAGCCCAGCAGTTCTGAAGCTGCCGTTGAGGCGGTCCATGGGTTTATGGACTTCGCCCGATGGGTCCAGAAGCATGAATTGAATCTCGAACCCAAGGAGGAATGTAGAATTAAAACTGATTCTGAATTCTCCCAGGACACCTTCCAGCAATTTTCGTGGGCATTTCTCAGAGGAACCCTTCTCATATAAAGAACACATGACAGTGGCATGATCGTGGTTGGAGCCGCAAGGACGAAGCGACGACCAGTCCGGAACCAGCTCCCAAGTTTCGTGACGGTCGCCTAGGGAGAGTACCTTGGGGGCGGTCGATATCGGAATGATCATGCTGCCTTGTGCGAGATGGTAGTTTTCAGTTCCTTCAGCGATTCGGAGGCATCGGTCGATCGGGATGAAGCGGGCGCGCAGGACGCCCGAGTAGTCAACCCAGTATTGGCGAACATACTTGAATCTCCCCTCGTGCTCAGGGAGGAAATCCTCGACCGTATGTTTCTCCGATGTCATCCTGGGCTAATCCGTAAGAGATGATATTCTAAATTAGTGGACCGTGTGTTTGTTGTTTATGTTTGGGAAGAGTCCAAAGCTGAGGAAGTAGAGGAGGCGAGAAGACGATGAGACGAGGCAGAGAGTAGAGGAGAACAAGTTAGAAGCAAGTTGCAGCTTTAGAAGGTGCAGCTGTAACTTGCCGTTGGCTCTGCCTCTGCCCTAAGGTGTCCATCGGTTGCACTTGACCACGAAGAACTCGTTTTCAAAACAGTAAATAATAGATGTGGAGTTTCAAGGAGAGTTGACGATGAGGGGATCGATTCAGAAGTAAGAGTTGTAAATAGTGCTTCTCTCATTGTGCTTTCTTCAAACTAGCTCTATTGTTCCGTCCATCTTCGCTAGGACGACGAGTTCGGCCAGGGAAGGATGTTTTGTTGGTAGAGAAACCAAACAGTGCTGCTCGATCAGAAACTCAAATAAGCCATAATACGTAAGAGAATGAGAATAAAGTTCAACAGCAATGGAAGCTGCCAGAGCCCGGCAACTCAACACAAAATCAACACAATGAATACAAACAAGCCATAATAACATAGGTAATTTCAAACTAATCTCCTGGTTGTTGGAGAATCCGGTGCTTCCAGTTCTTGTCTGATCGTCTTTGCACTCCATTTCCGTTCTCGTGATCTGTTAAACCACCTCCCCTACTCGCTGAAACCCTCCCATTCCGATTCAGATTCCTGATCCAATTCCATATCCCACTCTGTCTCCATCTTTATTCCTACCTCTGATGGCCGCTCCTCCCACGGTCCCAGATACGTGGCGTCCATGATGGCGAAATCCAGATACCCCCACAGGCGGTTCACGCTGACATCCCACAGCACTTGTTCGGGTGTGCGATGCGATCCCGCTCCCTTCCGGAACCTGTCTCCCGCCATCAACTCCCCAATCTCTCCCTCGGAAGCCCGCGCGGCGCAGTCACGCGCACTTTCAAGTAGACCCAGGACCCCCTGGGTTGACCACCACGTGGCATACGAGTACTGGATTGCGCGGTCCGTTTCTTCCACGGAGCCAGGTGAATACGTGCCGAGCGTGGCGACCATTGCTTCATCCGGGTCAAAGAGGTCGAACATGAAGTATGGATTAAGCTCGGTAATGGCGACGGCAAGCTTGCAGATCTGGGTGAGAAGCGTCTGTTCGGTCTCCGAGAGGGCCTTGTGCGAGTGTTTGTAGAGGTCGGCGGAGAGCGGGCTCCGGACCACGGTTTGCTGGATCTGGGCGTGAAGCTCCGTGGGAATAGAGCGCTGGGCAAGGACCTTGCGGGTGATTTTCGTGTTGAGGACGTCAACCAGCAGCTTGAGTTTCAGTATCAAAACGGCAACAAGGTAATTCAGAGAGGGACGTTTGTCAATGAAAAGGCCTGGCTGCTCCAAGGCGTCGGCTCCGTGGATATCAAGGTACGGCAAGGTGAAGTCATCCCAGTCATGATCTATGTCACACATCGCCCACCACTTGAGAAAGTCGTAGCACTCCTGGTCACGATCGAGCCGCAGCATGATGCAGGGCAGAATTTCCCGCACCGCCATGGTATCCATGCGGCACAGCCTGAGCATGTCTCCGAGATGGTCGTGAGCTTCGCGGACGCTGTCGAGTGTGCCCAGCGGGAGTAGATTCTCCATGACCAGGGCGAGGCGAGCACGCATGTAGGGGCGCGTTCTGGGGATTTCCCAGAAGTAGCCGACGCCCGTCTCGAAAACATTGGAGGGGACTCGATACATTGGGTTGGGCTTGCGGATGAGCTTGTCCTCATGGTCGAGCTTAGCGCGGGCCATGCTGATCTTGTGGCAGGTTTGCATGTGGCCGTCTATGTCGGCCATCTGGTGCTCACGGCAGCAGTAACGAATTACATGGCATCCGGTGCACGGCTGCAGTCCTGGCCCTCCGCCCTGGCATGGTGAGCAGCGATGGATCAGAGCTCCCACGGGACCGTTGCGGACGTCGGCGCCGCTGGCCATGATGGATGAGATGTAGTTGATGGAACGATCGATGAACGAGTGATGGACGAGTGATGGACGAGTGATGAACGAGTGATGGACGATTGATGGAAGGACAGAGGGACAGACTCGTCGGTGGATGATTCTGGGTTTCTGGGTTTGTGCGGTGGCAACTTGGTCTGGCCAAACACATGCAATTATGCGAGTGTCTAGTGAACGAGCCGGCAAGCACGATCACTGCCGGGCGGCATTTCTCTTGTCGCATATCCCTGATCAAGGTTTTGGCTTTCTTGATCACGCTGCCCTTCTGCCATTGAGCGCTACCAGAATGAGGTGAACGGAGCTATGGGCGCCCTGGAAACTGTTCTCTCGTCGCGTCCAGCGGATGGGACATCCAGATTAGCAAGCCAGCGTTATGAACGAACGAATCGCAGATCAAAGATCAGAAACCGGCTGCATTCGCGTCAGAACGAGGTCAGGTTGGCGGGCAAAAGCTAGGCAAGGCTAAAGGACATCGATCCAGCCACTCAAGTATCACCGGGTGTATCCACGACAAGGGTACCAAAGCATAAATGGGCATTAAACTAATCTTCGAAGCATTCCTGAATACAGAAATTCCTCAGGGTATAAGATACGACAACCATTAACCATCCCCCTCAAAACACACAACCCCACAGGATATAGACAATTTCGATTACCGACCTTCAATCAAGCGCATCCCACACATTCTCACGAACATTGGCGCGGCCTTGCCCCTTACTGGCCGTCCCAGGCAACCTTCATGGAGGTTGGGAAGGGGAAAGTGCTGCCCCAGTCCTCGGTGAGGTAGACGGAGAAGCCTCCAGGCTGAGGAATCTTCTTCAGCTCACCCTGAGGTCCAACAGCGCGACGAATGCCCTTCTTGCGGAAGACGGCCCGGAACAGCTCAGTGAGAGCAACCTGGCTGATGTCGCGGCCGAGACCGGCGTGGGGGCCGGCGCTGTAGTGGATGTAGGAGTCGCGAGGACGGCTTGGGTCGATCCTCTCCGGCTGGGGGAAGTGGACAGGGTCGTTGGCGGCGTCGGCGAAAGAGATGAAGATCTTGTCGCCAGTCTTGATGTTGACCTGGCGACCATCATCCTCAAGGATGGTATCATTGCCGGCAGCCTCGCGGTAGAGTCCAGTGGTACCAGCCTTGCGAACGCCCTCGAGAGCATATCCGAGAAGGATCTCGTCAGTCTCATCACTGGAAGGCTGAGCAGCAACACGCTGGATCTCGTTGACGTGAGGAACACCCTCAGGGGAGAGGTAAAAATCAACAGCTTGGGCAAACTAAAACAGTTGTTAGTCAAATTAATACATAAGAGGGGATGAGTAGACATACCACTTCGGCCTGGTTGGGCACCATAGCGCCCGCAGTGGGGAGAATTTCGCCATATGTAATCTCATGAGCATCAACGCCAGCCTTGGAAAGACCCTTGATCAGGTTGACACCATAAGCCTCAAGAGGGTCATTCTTGTGCTTGGGGGTGTATAGACCGCGCATACCGAGCTTGGAAGCAAGTTTGACATTCAGCTCAACAGCACGGCCGAGCTTCTGCGCCGCCTCCTTGGTAGCCTGTCGCAGAGGGAAAGACTTGGCGGGGTCACTGTCATAGAAGACGCCGACAAAGATGAGAGCGAGGGTCTGGTACAGCTCAAGCTCGGAGAAGATACCCTTGGGGTTTTGCTTGTCCTTGATGGGCAGGTTGAACAGACGGGCGACAAAGTGTGTGTGGGCCAGGTTACCGAAATCACGAACAAGATCGATTTGAGTCTGTGCGCCAAGCTTGTACGACTTCTCGGCCAGCAGAGTCTCGGCAATGGCGGAATAGAAGGCCTTGACAGACTTCTTCCATTCGGGCCTGTACAGGAGGGACTCGAGGGCCTTGCGGCTGTTGCCATGTAGAGGCTTGTCGCCAAGGAGGCTGCCAAAAGAAGATTGCCAGTCAATCTTGTACTTGTCGTCATTCTCAAGGATGTACTTGGCACCACCGTACGTTGTCACGTTGACGCGATTGATGTGAGACGTGGGGCGGTCCCAGTTGAAGAGGTGTTCACGGTTCAGGCTCTTCATGATCCTGCGATTTTCGTCGGGAGTCACCATGGGGTAGTGGGCATAGATGGAGTCCGACTTGAAGTGGTTAGGGAAACCTCGCATGAACAGCTTGAAGAATGAGCAACCGTGGTTCACGCTGAGATCATAGTCGACCTCTTTGTAGCCCCAGTTTGTCAAGTTGCCCGGGTGATAGTCAGTGGTGTAGTACCTGTCACCACGGACAAGTGCGACGGCATCAGATAGAACGACACGAGAGATGGTGTAGGTGGGGGCAATGCCGACACCAGGGACCATGGGCTCTTTGCGCTCCTCGGCAACGATACCAGGGTACAACTCAACGTTGTCAGGATGCTGGTACAGGTTGCGGAGACCATCGGCAATCACAGGGTCGGAATTGATCTCCTCGAACGTGTCATATGCTTTCATACCAAAGTGCTTTCGGAACTCGTTCAGACTGGCCAGATTCCAACGACGGCCACGCATGATTCCCAGAATCTCGACGGGCTTCATGCTGCGGGGCACGTTGCGGCCACCAAACGAGCCTCCGGGCGACTCAATAGCTTCAGTCAAAGCCTCCATGAGCTGATCGTCGTTGAAGCGTCCATCAGGTCCACGCTTGAACCCACTGAAGGTACGCTCGCCGGGATCCTTGGGAATGGACTGCTCAAATGCCTTCATCGCACCCATCAGAGCACGCATGTCCATCTCCTCATAGCTGCCGCCACCCAAGAGCTCCTTATAGAAGTCCTCAATCCACTTCTCATCAGGCTCGGAGATGCATGAGTGCCAGCGGTAGCAGAGGTTGAACTCGGCCGAAACAACATTGCCAACGCCGGCTTCAGAGCCGTTATTGGTTCCCGCAGCGACACCCATCTCCTGACGGGGATCAAGGGTCCAAGCTGTATCACATCGGTTCAAGTTGATGATATTGCGGACGTAGTCGATGAGGGTGATGTTGATGTACAGGCCGGAGGTGACCAGGCGAGCAGTCTGGAAGATCTCTTCGTCATGCTTCTTCCAGACAGCTGCTGCCTCTTCATCATTCATTCCGGGTGTAGGGGTAGGGAATCTGAGGTCCTCGTTGATCTCGGCCAGGTTGGTCGCAACGTAGTTGTGGAATCGGTTGAACATGACGAGAAGAATACAGACACCAGGAGGGTTTCCGATCAGACGCTTGTCAGCAAAGCAATCTGGCTTGAGATGTCCACCCTTGAAGGTTCGGATGCTATCCTGCTCTTCCTGTGTATTACCGTAGAGAGGCGCCAAGTCGAGATAGGACGAGGTGTTATTCTTGTTGGGGTCTCTCTGGTCGGTCCAGAACAGATCTTTCGGACGCATCAGCCTTCACCTTGTTCTGAATGTCTAGTAGAACTCAACGATGAACATACCGTGAATGATAATGGTAGCCCAGTACCAGAGAATACTCGACGTGTTGTTGGGGTTCTTGCGGAAGCCATCTCGAGCCATGACAGCCTCAAAAATGGCTGCAGGATCAGGCTGGGCACCCAATTGAGCGTGCTTCGGTTTGCAGGAGCGTGAATATGCGTGGCCCCTAGCACCGAGGAATGGCAATGTTGGGTTCTGTATTGAATCTGTCAGTCTCATCATGCGCAAAGCCACTAGCCCTCATGCGACATGCGGGTGATTCAAGCGAACTCACGTTGTAAGCCCCGTCTGGGCGGCGGTACTTTGACTCGGGCCCAATATACAACAGAGGGGGGTGTTCAAGCGAGTTCCAAAGCTTGTCAATAAAGCTGTTGGTGAGCTTCTCTTGTGTTCGGGAGTGGTCGGGGAGCCCAGCGACAAGCTGGATCGTCCTCTCCATGATCATGGTCTTGTCATCCTGCTGCGTCTCGCCCTTGAGCTTGCCTTTGACAATGTCGATGAGGGTCTTGTAATCTGCATGAGTCGGTCAGTATCTCTGATTCTCTCCCCTTAGTGCGATTGCCTCTAGGCGAAGTTCATACATACCACGTTTGGTGAGTTTGCCCAGGTCATCGCGAAGCGTCGGCCTAGCCACAATCTGGCGATACGAGCCGTCGCCCCTTTCAGTCGGGAGAGGGCGACTCGAGGCTACTCGCATCTCCTTGACGGAAGCCAACAGGCCCGGCTTCTTGGGAGCCGCCGCCGAGGACAGAGGTGCCGGCTGGTTGTCATGCTTCCTTGCCGGATTGACGAGTGCCGTGCTCGTCACCTTGGCCTTGGCCTTCTCTCCATTCTGTGCGCCGTTCTTTTCGTAATCTGCCATGATGAGACCTGGTCAATTCACCTCGACAGTTCGATCAGAGAAGGTGGGAGGATTGAGGAAAGGAGAGCTACCATCTGAATGGGCCTGGGCTGCTCGCCCATCTTAAACCTGCCGTACCACCATCCGGGATTACACCTATTGCTTCTCACACACCCCTAGTTCGCTGCTAAATGTCACACATGCCTGGCTTTCGATATCCTCTACAGACGCCCAGCAGTAGCCGTAGCAGTAACTCGAAGCCAAAAGAAAATAATAGCCCGAGGAGGGAAACCCACTCCTACGCACGCCCATCGTCACGTCCAAGACATGGCATTCCGCTAGGTATGCGGCCCCACAACTCACGACGGCGCCAGCTGTTTGCAGGGACCTCTGATCTACCACTTAGCATGTACAGTGGACGTATCAGCGAAGTAGTTCTTGCATGTGAGAGATAGATGGCGGCCAGGGAAGGCAATCTCCATAAGCTTCGAGCAAGGGGAGGTGCGACAAGGGCCCACAAGATGTACATTAATTAAGAGCCGGCGGATGAAGATCGTACCGTCAATAGCATCCAGCTCTCTGTCTCTTCGGGATGGTCTCCCAAAAGAGACGAATTCAATCGACAGTCCAGCTACCACTTATGAGTAGGGATTGTGATGTACGAGATGCTGTCTTGCTCGCATGTCCATTCGCCCCTGAGGAAGCAAATTACCATGTCTCGGCACGACTAAACGTGCAAATCATCAGTACGATGTAGTATAACTACAGTGTTCTTGGTGAACAGAGGGTGTACTGTGCTGGATGTACCACACGGGGGCGTTCAACTTCCGTGGCGCCAACACTCCGAGGACCGGGCCTATCAAGGGCCATTCGTATGTAATACAGCATGGCCCAATCTGATCGCCAGTGACGATTTAGGCCTCGCGCATAAAGATATTGGTGCCCGTAAGTGCTGAACGCTGGCCAAGAAGCCAATAATTGTTTGGCTGTCAGCAGGCCTATGGCCAGACGCGCCTTACAAAGCATGTTGCTGAGCGTACATACATGCATAGGTGGCATGGTGTGCTTGGGTCTGGAGGGTATACCAATGAAGCCGATTTGATGCATCACTTCTAGGACACCCCTCCCAGCCTTGGCCAGACTCAAACAATGAGCATGATTCGCCGCTCTGCAACAATGCGCATCCCACAGCCAGCTGAACCCGGCAGGTTCGACCGGCGGTGGTGAGAGAGATAGCAGCGAGCAGCGTATCCAGACACACCTGGTGCGTACATACAGGCAAAGAGAGTCGATGGGTCGCGTCGTTCCGGTAGATACGGCGTAGCGTCGTGAACCTCTGCAAAGCTTTCGCTCTATTCAGCTGGTGGGCCCTCCCTGACGCTCAAGTTCTCAACTGACTGGCCGGGAATTAATTTAAAGGGCCACTCAACTGAGAGGGGACGGCGGGAGCCAATGGAGCGGGCCGGCCATCATCCATCCAGCTTCATCCTGGTTGCTGTGGTGGATCAGATCAGTGGATCTCATCTCATCATCATGGGCGAGGCCGCCAGCTTACCATTGTTCCCCCGCATGGCATCCCGGCAGCTCTCTCATGAAATCGTGGCAAGGCTTGCGTTGCTCAGTTACTCGGGCCCCTTCAGTGAGACCATCACCAAGGGTGAGCTTTGGCACAGACGAGATGAGCATCCATCTTCCCTTGAGAGAGAGCGGTAAGCAGCGCCTGGACCCATGTTCAACCAGGTCAATCGAAACGCGGATCAGTGCCATAACGTACCGACCTATCAGTACGTAGTATCGGTGTGCTCTTCTCCATCCAGCATCAGATGCATGGTTGCATAGAGCCTGCAGTCTAAGCAGACCCAAAATGGTGTTTTTTGGCTAGTGTCAACGCCATCACCGACCAAGTGGCCAGCTGAATCCAATCCCAGGTGCTCTGATTCGGGATGTCTCTCAGACTATCCTGTCTTGGCAGACATCCGATGGACATTAGGACTGGCAACCATAGAAACCCCAGTGATATGGCCATTAGGCCGTTGTCATCGCGGACTTAACATGTACGGCGGTTGTACAGTCGGAAGGGTCTTGCTTGGTCACTCGCTGGTTACGTGGTATTGTCTCACCCTCTTCGGTTTCTTGTGAGGTGCCCAAGGTTCCCGGGCCTGCACGTCATGCTAGGGTCGAGTATGAGAGGATGTGTCGCGCGTCCTCATACCTCTTTCTCCCAATCAGACTGAGCGTTAGCACAAGGCCCCTTGGGGGATTATCTCGGCCGATCCTGCTGGCCAGAACGAAATACCACGTCGATCGGGAGATTAGGCTGGCACCTGATGGGTTGGCGACATGTCTGCGGGCGGGAACAATGCAATACATCCCAGGCTCATGCTCTTCGGAATCAATACAAATCAAACATAATGCGGGGCAATTCTTCTCTCCGCCTCATGAGAAAAAGCAAACCGCATCAGGCCGACTGAGACACACGTCTTGTCTCAATACATTTCGAGTGTAGCGTCCCCTCATTTCGTCTCCAGCGCCCCATATGATACCCTGCTCGTGTGGCTGCTCCACGGCGCCAACCGACGATGCTCAACCCTCCCTGGGATTGGGATGCCTGGTCGTCTTCCGAACCTCACATCCATCATGGAGCGTGAGACCCCAGGAGAGGTTGGAAATGAATAACTTCGCATTGGCTGGCCAATCGTCTCCTCACACCCCCCCTCCCTCTCGCATGGGTTCTGTGCTGGCGCCGTGTCCAGCTCCCCACATCCCCTCAAGCTATCGAGAAACGGGCAATCGAGCATGCCCAGCGTCCTCGTACAAGGCGCGAAGTGCCGGGCGGACAAGGTGCGGGAGCATGAGGTTTCTCCAATTGGCCGGTTAATAGCATGATGATCGTCAAGCCCCCTGGAATGCTGATCCTCACCTCTTGCCTCGGTGGACCCCATTTTAATGTCCCATCTGCCGAAACCTACCAGCGTCGCGGGTGTAGATAGTGTAGTTGCGAAGAGTGGCCGCAGTAGATGTGTGAAGAGTGTAGATGGGTGATGGGTGGAGGTGTCATGGTACTTGCACCAACGTTCGTGCATGATGTGATCGATCCAGAGTACGTGTAACAGATATCCGATGATGTCCAGAGGAACGAAGTATGCAACTCTAAAAGCTTCTTTCGGTCAAAACTCGTGGGGAGCGAGAATGCCCGTCCCATCCACCAGGGGCGCGTGAGACATCAGGGCCTAGTAACAGGGTATTGATTTTTCAATTCACATGGCTGTCCTTTCGGGACGTCTAATAGATAAATTCCAACGCTATGCTAACCCCAGCCAAGGAGACTCGTCGACTTCAATTACGAGCGTGAGTTGCTCATAGCCATTCATCCGAATGTGATGATGAACTGTATCTGTCATTAATTGTGGATTGACAAGATGTTCTACTTTGTGCGCAGATCGTGTACGTAAAATGGCAGTTTATCGGTCTCGTAAACGTGCCCTTGAGGGTGTTCAGCCACTCGATACAGGTTATCAACCGAGTGCTGGTGGAATGTGTCGGTGTGATTGCACTGCAGGATGTGTTCCAACCCAGGAGGGTTTGTTAGCCTGAAGATGCCATGCCTGTGCTCATATTAGTCTATGATTCAACCATTATGTTCGGACGAAGTAAACTCACGAAGGCTCGTATTTTGGCGCGCAGACGATAGCAATGCTTTCAGGCATCATGATTTGGTATCCTGCATGAGTATGAAGATCTCGTGAGCTCAGAAAGCACGTCTGGGTGGGGTGTGTATGAATCCATCCGATCATGAGCAAATCTTCACTGTCGCAATAATCAAACATGGCCGACTCGTTTTCCGTCTCGCACGTGTCCGAGGTGCATTTCTGGTCAGGAATAAGGAGGCAGCGGATGAACAGCGCATTATTGACTGGTGTGCCACAAAGAATTCCGCACATCTCGAGGCCACGACGTGTGTTGTCTGCCGCAACTTTGAGAAAGTCGCGACGCAGTGCTCGGGGCAGGAAAATGGATCGAATCGGGTCACCGTTCTCGAGATATGCTCCAGGCTTGAATGTGAGGCGCTCTTTTCGAGGGATGGGTGGCGTTTCATCTGGTATTTCTGCTTTCGGTGGGCGAGCGGGTGGCTGTTGCGCCACCGGCCCTGCTTGAGGTGATGGTATTAGAGGTTGATAATCAACTAGAGCAACCTTGCTGGGAATTGTTGGGGTTGATCCTTCGAGTTTGGTGGCTGAATACTCGTCCATATGTAGGGGTTGCTTAGGTGGTCGTGCTGGCTGAGCAGTCGGGGGTGGCTCGTACACCGGCGACAATGGTGTCTCGCTAGATTCGAATCCTACTGGCCTCGACTTGGAGATGGAAGGGTAGTTGTACGTTTGAGGGACTGGTTGGGAGATGGATTCCACGGGATGAATATCTCTCGCTGGGGCTGGAGAGTCCAAGTTCCTCCTAGCGGCCTCCATTTGCCTCTGGAGGTCGTTATCCTGTGCAATGGTGCTTGTTCTGTCCCAATCATCCCACCGTCCAGCTCTCCGCCTCGTCAAAGTCTCCTCATCGGACAGGCCAGCTTGCTTGGTCGCTCGACGGACGGTGTCTCGGCGTGTGATCTCCCTCCTAGCGAGGTCAACGGCAAGGTCCTGATGCTCCGAGGCATCAAGGATTCTGGCATTTCCGCTCAGGGTGGGATCTCGGGCGGCAAACTCGGCGTAGCTCCTTCGATCTGTAACGGGACGTGGTTGGGGCTTGGATGGCTCATCGGCGGGCCGCATTCGCTCCCATTCTTTGTAGGCATTATTGATTTCGGGTTTCAGTTGCTCAAGGTCCTCGAGGACACTGTCAACGCGCTTCGAAAGTGATCTACAGGCCTTGCGGCCTTCGGGGGTCTTGTACTCGGGGTGTCTCGGTAGGTAGTTCAGGACGAGAAGAGAGTGGCGGTATAGCATCACGTAGGCGCGACCAATGTCGCCTTCAGAGAGGGCAAAATTTGCCTAAGAGAATGAAAAGCACCGTGTTAGCAGTCACTCTGGAGGCGGGTTCAGGAAAGGGTGATGCTCGTGAGGGCCACATGCCTCTTGGTACAGCGTTTCGGCAGCTCGAGACCAGTGCTTCAAGGGAATGTTAGGCTTGAATACAAAGTCTTCTGCCTGTGCCGTCAGCTCGACCACCTTTAGCGGGCGAGAAGGCTGCATCGGCGGTCGAGGATCCATGATGGCGGGGGAAGCTGAGCGAGGGGAAGCTGGTGACACCGCGTTGGATCTGAGGCAATGGAGCTCGCCGGGAAAACAAGGCTGAGAGGGTCGCTGTCGTTATCTAATCGTCAGGCACGCAGGTACCTTGATATCAGGTGGCTGTCAGGTAGCTGTCAATAGCTGTGGCATGGTGAGATAACAATACTTCCTGCTGTAGGGAAGTAAAGTCCATTTCTTACATTAGTACTTGTTATTGATAATTCATCGGCGCTTCAAGCTATTGTCTGTAAATATTGTGGCCTGCATTGGAGAGGTGAGATATGGAAATACCCGTAGCTGTTGGGTCGCGGTAATGGCTCCCGCCCTGGAGCGCTAATGGACAGGCACCCGGATTGGCAGAAACGCCGATGGCTGACTAGAGGGTTCGAGAAAGGCGACGGCCCAAGAGGAAGCTGGAGGCTGTCTGCCTGAAGGAAAGGATGGCGCGTCTACGCGGGTTGCACGTTGCACATCATCATCACATTCGATTCAAGCACAGCAAAAGCACTGCAGGCAACACAAACAAATACAGGGGAAGGAGCAGCCAGACCCCTCCAACAGCCACCGCGGGGCACAATCAATTTAGATATGACGAAATGATATGCACGTAAGACGCATAACGCAGTTGCTCTCTGCTTCTCTCAGTACCTGCATATTTAGATGCCAACTTCTCATTTCTTCAACCGTCGTGGCACTCGTCATGGTTCTAAATACAAGCGGCAATGCAGCAGACATCAAGCTTGGATGAAATGGGGTTTTATTGGGCGCGTCATGGGGGACTTTCAGAGATATCAATGTCCAAAAATGCTAACAGAAAGCCTTGCTAAATCACATCATCCCCCTTGGAGCCCACCAAAATCCATCATCCCAGGTGAAGAATGCTGGAGGACGGGGTTTATTGTCCCTTGCCAGCCTCAGCAGCCGCGGACTGCGCAGCGGACTGGATTTGAATGATCTCCATCTTCTTCTTCTCCGCACTCTCCTGCTGTTCCTTGAGTACGCCTTCAAGTCTCGCGCTGGGAGGAAGTCAGTACACTTCTCTCGATTTCAACCGGTGCGACAGTTATGCAGGGCCATTTTCAGATTAGGAACAGTCTAGCGAACTCACATTTCTTTGTCGATAAAATCTAAGCGACCGTTGATCGTGCTCACAGCCTCCTGCTTCTCTTGCTTCAGGAGTACCGGCCCAACAAGTTTGTAAATGGTCTCATCTTCATCCATTGAGGCGAATTCCTGTCTCGCGCACAAGCCTGTTAGTATCAAGTGCTCCTATCAACCGAACAGCAGAGCAGAGTGGGAGTGAGGCGGGGGTAGTCCTACATTCTTTACTCCTGTATTCTCCTGTTTCTGCCCCTCGAGTTTTTGTCGCGCTGCTACTGTTGTCTGTAGATCTGTTCATTGTAAGCAGCGGGCTTCCTCGCTCCTTCGCACTAATTCCTGGCTAGAATCTGTCTCACCTTGCTGCACCTTTTGAAACTCATCAGTGAGCGCCTGGAGGCGGGCTTGAGAGTCGGCGGAAGCCATAGCGAAATTGTATGGAGGGGTAATTCGTGGATAAGTTTGGCTGGACACCCTGAAAATGGGGCCTTTCTCGCGTCCTGGGGGCCGTTATCAAGATACTCTCAGTCAAGAGTAATTTCAAGTGCCGTCACAATGGGGTATCCTCTCCTCAAAACCGCTGTTCTCTTGGTGGCTTCTGCGGTCGTCTATCTCATGGTGATCCTCAGCAAAACTAGCCTGCGCCCCGCTATGTGCATCACTCGCTTTACTGGCCAGAGACTCCTCTACTGTAGCAACGGCGGTTGATCCCCACTGGCGCAGACAGCAGTGGATGCCTGGCCTCTGACGAAGCAGCGGGGCCTCCCTGCCAGGTACCTGCAATTACAGGCTTGACAGAGGCTGTGCTACCCGGACTCCAGCGCTCTACATCCCAACTTGTGGCCTTATCGTGGTCATATTCGCCAGCTGCACAAGACGAGCCTCGCTAAGCCGTTATTACCCCATCCCAGCAAACCTGTTTCCAGGCTCGATCAGACGAGGAGATCGGCGTCCCTTCATAGCCCCCGCCGTTGAAGGACGAGATATACTGCGCTCCCTTCTTTGGCAGTGTATTTTTTTCGCCTTTCCTTGCCTCTGCGACCTCGGTGATACTTCCTCTAAGCGATCACCCAATTCCGTCTGTCTGTTCCGTTCCCCACCATTTCCCCCCGCCACGGGCTCACCGAACCCCAACTCTCTCAACCTCAAGGCCAGCACATCGCTCAAGGCGCCCTCGACCTACTCCAGCCTCAAAGCCACACCTTTTCCCTCTGTCCGACCCGAGACCTCGAGCAAGCCGCTCCCAACGACGTCGCCGCCGCCGCCATGTCGACCAACTTCCGCGACCGCGCCATCGCCGAGGTGCAGAAGGCGATCACGGCAGACCACAACAAGGAGTACCAAAAGGCCTTCGACCTCTACATGTCCTCCATGGAGCTCTGGGTCAAGGCCCTCAAGTGGGAGAAGAACAAGGCCCTCAAGGCAACCATGCAGGAGAAGATGGCCACCTACCTCGACCGCGCGGAGAAGCTCAAGCAGTTCCTCGCCGCCGAGGCGGAGAGCACCAATGACGCGGGGGGCGGCAAGGGGCTCATGGGCGCCAACGGGGGGGGCACTGGCAAGGGCAAGGCTTCGGCCGAGGACGAGGACAGCAAGAAGCTGCGCAACGCGTTGGCCGGCGCTATTCTTCAGGAGAGGCCCAACGTGCGGTGGGAGGACATTGCCGGCCTTGAAGGTGCCAAGGAGACATTGAAGGAGGCCGTTGTGCTGCCCATCAAGTTCCCCAGTCTCTTCCAGGGCAAGCGAAAGGCATGGAGAGGTATCCTGCTGTACGGCCCTCCTGGCACGGGTAAGAGTTATCTGGCCAAGGCCGTTGCGACCGAGGCAAACAGCACATTCTTCAGCATCAGCAGTTCGGATCTGGTCAGCAAATGGATGGGTGAAAGTGAAAGGTAGGATGGTCCTTCGCAGCAGTGTCATTATGTTGCGTTTCTGCCGGTTGTGTAGGGGTTTTCAAGGTCTGACTCGTGCTTCCAGGTTGGTCAAGAATCTATTCGCAATGGCACGAGAAAATAAGCCATCTGTCATCTTCATTGATGAAGTCGACGCTCTTGTTGGACCCAGAGGCGAGGGGGAGTCCGAGGCTTCACGTCGTATAAAGACCGAGTTCCTCGTACAGATGGATGGTGTCGGCCAGGACAGTGATGGTATCCTTGTTCTGGGTGCGACCAATATCCCCTGGCAACTTGACTCGGCGATCCGTCGACGATTCCAAAGACTCGTCCACATTGGTCTGCCAGACGCCAATGGCCGCGCGAGGATGTTCAAACTTGCCATTGGAGACACCGTGACGGCATTACAGCCCAGTGATTTCAGCGTTCTCGCAATGAAGTCCGAGGGCTACTCTGGAAGCGATATCACTAATCTAGTGCAACGTGCGCTTATGCGACCAGTGCGCAAGGTTCTACAGGCAACACACTTCAAACCGGTAGGTTCAGACTCCCAAGCCCAAGTCTACCAGAGCTTGCCCTCGATAGCCCGAATTCTACTCACACTGGTGTAGGTGATGAAGGATGGCAAGCGGATGCTGACCCCATGCTCGCCTGGTGACCCGGAAAAGGTCGAGATGACCTACGACGACGTCAAGAGTGACGAGCTGCTAGCGCCTGACGTCTCGCTGCAGGACTTCGAGGTCGCACTGGAGGATTCGCACCCGACCGTGGGTAAGGAAGACATCGCGAAACAGGTAGAATGGACGAATAATTTTGGAAGCGAAGGCGCATGATTGGGAAGCAAAGAAGAGACGGAGGATAGCGATGGAGAAGTTCTCGGATGCTTTTAAGACCTATTTACAATGCATCACGGCGTCTACGGGAGTTTCTGGCATGTGGGCTTTTGATATATCACCCTTTGGGACGAGACAGAATTGGGACAAACAGATTATAAATCCAGAGCTTCTATTGTTCTGTCGTTCTCTCCATCCTCCCTCGTACAATTAAGCCTTGCTTGAGCTTGGGATCGGTACCTACCCCCAAACGGTGTGAGAGAGATGTGCTGGATGGAAGCTTGTCGTCCAATGTCCACCCAAGGTCAAATGCCGTAACGTACTCTTATGTGCACCCTTACCTCGGCACATTCTTTAGGGTATATAATACCCACCGTCAATATAGACTTCAAACTGCAATTCCCTAAAAATCTTAAGAATTGGACCCATTCCGATGGCATTCCCAAGACTGGTGCGAGGAATCCCCGGCTCTAGGGTGGGTGAAAATACTGCTACGTCATAAAACACAGCAGCAAGCTCTCGCCGCGCAAACTGGGCGGTCAGGCCCGGCAGAACTTTTTCCTCCATCGCCAAAGCCAATTCGATGAACTCAATTAGAGCGACCGACCACCGCGCCTCACCCCATTCTCCTCCTGCTAGCTAGCTGTTCCATGTTGGCTCGCTTTCGCCATGGGCCAGCGCCCCAGCTTGTGCGGCTCCTGGGCCGTACCTATCGCCCGTACCCAGTCTTCCAGAGCTCTGTGGTAGGAACAGCTGCCCGACCAAATGCGAGAACCTTCACGACCGCGCGCATGTGTATGGCGAAGCCTGGACCCAAGGACGAAACCGGTACACCTGAGAAGAAGCCTCGGAAATCAAAGAAAACCCCCGCTGTGCCAGAGAATGGGGCTGAAGAACCCACGCCGAAGAAAAAACAGGCAGCTAAGAAAACCTCCAAAGCTGTAGGAATTGGGGCCGAGGCAGAGGCCACGCCGAGGAAAAAAAGGGCAGCCAAGAAAACCCCCGAGCCAGTGCCGGAAACCGGTACTGAAGTAGAACCCACGCCGAAGAAACGACGGGCAACCAAGAAAAGCACTAAAGCCGTGCCAGAGACTGGGACTGAATCCGAAGCATCCCCAAAACGTCAGCCTCGATCGTCAAAGAAACAAAGCCCACGAGAGCTAGATGGGTTCATTGCGACAACACCGGTGGCTGAGCGCCTGGCCGAGGCTGAAATATGGTCAAACAAGACACGCAAAAAGAAACCGTCGTCCAAGATAGACACCGATAATTTGATGGTGGCTGACAAAACGAGGGTTAACATTGTCAGCGACAAGCTTTGCGGTGCGTTATTCTTGTCTCACGAAACCAAGCCAGAAGCCATGGAGCCACAACGCAGGCGCAGTTTTGCTGATAATGTATAGACGATATCATCAAGTACCTCGGACCATCTCTCGACCGACACAAAGGCTGCGATCTTCTCGATATGAACCCGGGAGTTGGAGTCTGGAGCCGAGCCCTCCACGATGCCGTTCAACCACGACAACATATAATGATGGAGCCCCGGGCCGAGGAGTACAGTCCCTTTCTTAAAGAGGCCATGGGTGATCGACAGAATGTCAAAATTATCCCCAAACAGGGCATCATATGGAAAGAGCTACATGAGACTCTTCAAACCCACCTCGCTCCCCATCACACCCCGACTCCTCGCGGCCAGAAACCAGAGCGCAATGATTCCATCCTCGTCACGATGAATGTCTCCGCTTGGCCCGAAAAGCCCGTCTACTCCTTCCCGAATCTCTCCGTCATGGTCGCGTACCAGCTCATCCGATACATACGCACGTCCTCCTTCTTCCAGCAGTACGGCCTCGTCCGCGTTCTCCTCTGGACAAACAACGACTTCAAGTACCGTATCCTACCCCGCAGCGTGGGCGAGCGCGTGCGGTCCAACTTCGAGGCCGAACTCGCCTGCGAGTACATCCACGAGGTTGCAGGCATCGACGCGTACGACTTCAACTACTTCCGCAGAAACAGTCGCGACGAGTGGCTGAGCTATGAGTCGGCTGCTAGATGCTACCGCAACATGAAGGATCTCGGCATCGACACGATCCCCGGCCGCGAGACCCGCATGTTCAAGGCCCTTGAAGCGGACCCTGCCCAGTTGCTAAAGCCCCAAAAGCTTGCCGGCCGCAACCCCATCCGCGTCCTCCGCCCGTTCCAGGACGAGCTGGAGAAACTGGAGCAGGAAGCATCCGAACTGTCCGACTCGACCCGCAACATTCGCCTCAACACTCTGCGAACTCGCGTCGCCGCCGAGGGCCAGGAGAACATCCTCGTCCTGGAACTCCTCCAGACGCTCGAGAAGCTCAGCGCCATGGGCCCGTCGCACCCCGACTTCGCCGCGCTCGAGACCGAGTTCAACAGCCGCATCGACGGCATGAAGAGGAACCTCCGCGAGATCTTCTGCGCCGTCCGCGACAACTACTTCAGCTTCCGCCGCAACAAGGGGCCCACCCTCCTCTGGGACCGCCGCGCCTACGAGCCCCTCACCGCCGACCCGACCGAGTTCTGGCCCAACGCCCCCGTCTGCCTCCTCGACATCCAGCCCAGGGCCGTCGACCCCCTCTTCCACGAGGTCGGCCCCAGCTCCACCCGCAGCGGCGACGTCTCCGACATCCTCCTCCGCACCGCCTTCGCCCACCGCGCCCTCAGCCTCCCCCGCGTCATGGCCTCCATGTGGCCCGGCTTCGCCGACCTCGTCGACCAGTGCCCCAGCTTCGTCGACCCCCGCCTCGGCGGCTCCCACGTCTCCGGCCACGGCGAGCTCTCCGTCCGCGCCATGTCCGAGGAGAACTGGGCCGAGGTCGTCCGCGCCTGGATGAACTGGCCATTCCGCCCCCCCTACCTGACTCTGCTTGGCCGCACGCCCGACCTCTCCGGCTCCGAGTCCCACGACACTGAGGGGATGAGCGGCGCCGCCATGGGTGCTCGCAACCTGTAGATATCACCCTGGAGAGCGAGCCCCCATTCATCTCGCCTTAAAATGGTTGCTCATGTTGTAAAACAACTGTGACTACTGTAAAACAACTGTCAAAAATACATGTTACGATATATAGAAGGGACACAGCATATGTACACTTGCATTCAAAGCGTTAGATATATCATACCTAGAAGAGAATACTGGTAATGACACTAAACACTCCCTATCTACACACAGTCTTGGATTGATAGGTTTTCAAGTGCAATGGAAAATAAAAATATATTCGCAGCGCTTACTTGGTAAGCTGGGTTGATATAAACCGAGAAAAAATGCGTCCATGCGCCAGGCCCAACGCCGCCGTGCCTTATATACATCGTCTTTTATCTAGTTCAAACATCGCAATGCTAATGCTAATGAAGAAGTGTCAGAGGACGGCCTTCTGTTTCGTGTGAGATGGGAATGGCGCGAGACGCCATCCGCTTCGTTGTTCGTGAAAAAATTGAAGAGATCGGGTGTACAGCAGAAGCTTCAATGGGCCCGCTGTCATAGCTTCCACCGAGGAAGCTGGAGATGGACATGCTCGTGATGAAACACTCTTGGTCTCACCAATGCTGTCCTTCAATCAAAAGCAGGCAATGCATTTCCCCCACGTCGGGAGCGAAGAAGGGCATTATCCCTCTCATAAAGCAAGCCATGCAATTTTCGATTGGTCCGGTGACAGAAAGTGGGATAGCCATTCTATCCATGTACAAGCCTGATGCTCACCACCACCATGACCAGGTCTTTTCCAAAGACGGGTCTGCTAATACATCATCGACCCATCCGAGACTGCCTCTGTCGTCATCCGTAACTCGAGCGTACTCTAAAAGCACGCGAAGGACATATATCTGCATGTCCTCCTTTCGCAAAACTTTGTCGGCCCATTCCTTCCCTTCTGTAGCAATCTTCTCGCCAGCGAGATCATGCTTATTTTCCCCATTGAAGCCCAAGAAATATTCCATTATCCCGAACCAATCCCCGAACCTGTTGTCCATAGGTACGAAGTGTTTCCAGGGAACAAGCCGGCTGTCGTGCCATTCGCGCCAGAGGGTGGACTTGATCGGCAGAGACGTGGATTTCAGGAGACCTAGGTAACGACCCGAGAAGCTGTTTCCGTCAACGTCGGGCATGTACTTGTTGCTGAATTGATCGGCCAGTGGGACGTTGTCTAGAACGTCAAAGTATTTCCCTGTGTAGTTGCAGCTCCCACCAGGTTGCGGCGGGTCGCACATAAGGTCTGTGAAGCCAATATCCGACCACCCTTTGACCCATTTGGACAGCTTACCCTCAGCTTGGGGCTGATTATGGTATTGTTCTTCAGGAAGGGCAAAATTCTCGGGCTGCCCACCCCTCTCAACGCTAGCAAGGGTGGTAGCATTGTTCATGGCTACGAACCGATGGCGTTGGAAACCCCGCCAGTTCGTGGCTTTGTTCCGTCCTCCAGTCGCGACGCCTCGCCAGACGGCCTTGTTATCCTTGGAGGCCCACGTAGGGCCGTGGTCCTTGCCACCAGTGAAACGATCGTCTCCTTGCCAATACATCGGAGCAGGGATAAGAATCTCATTGTTCACGCTTAGCTTGGAACCGCCGAACATGGGGAACACGCTGTGGGTTGCAGAAGTCGAAATAGGCGCAATGAGGATGCCCTCAAGACCCTGGAGATCAGGTTGATGACAGAGATCGGAGGAGAGTGTAAAGTTGGAAACGTAGCCCTTGTAGAGATGAGGTTCGGCCATCTTCATGCTGATTTCCGGTCGGTTCGCCCAAGACATTTGGAGCTCGGTGGTTCGCGCTGGGCTCTTGGGAGAGCAACCCTGACGGACAATGTCCCAAGATGAATTTCCTTCTGCAAGTACATGTTAGCCACGAGTCATGAACTAGAAAGAACGGGCAAGCTACTTACTGCCACTGTGCCAAATCTTGTCATTCTTCTTCTTGTCAAGCACTATTTCATCAGTCTTCACCGCCTCCTCCTCATCCAAGGTCCCCTCCTCCGTCAAAGTCTCCTGCACATCTTTTGTCTTAACCTCCTCCTGGGTATCTTCGTCTGCTCTCTTTTGAATCTTCACGTCCGTCTCGGTCTTCATATTGGCCGTGCTGTCTGTCTCTTCCACAGCCCCTGTTTTGATCCCCTGCTCAGTGCCCTTCTCAATTGTCGTACCCGTTTTCTTCTTAGTTCCCTTGCGAGATGTCTCAGTTGTCTTTCCTACTCCCTTGTTCGTCGTCTTTCCAGTGCTCTTGTCGCTTGCTTTCTCGGTTCCCTTCTCAGCCCCCTTCTTAGGAGGCTTGATCGGTCTCCCTTTGGCATCCAGCTTGGGTTTTGGTGGCGGGGGAGGAGGCAGCTTCTGAAAATCGGATCGCATGTTCTTCGCCTTTGGCAATTTGACAGTCTTGGCCGCAGCCTTCATAAATTTCACCATTTCTTCGTGAGGCGCCACCAGTCGGGGCTCATCCATAGGGTTGAGCGCTAAGTCCATATCTGGCAACAAGTGCTCGATTGTCTTGAGAAGCTCGAGCCAAATTTCGGTCCAGAACCAATCACTACCAGTTGTCGCTTTGCCGTTCCTGACATTGATGGTCATCTCCCAATTCACGGCTTCCTTACGGAGGAGCTTGGGCTCCATTCCCCAGAACGGCTGGATGTCATCATAGATTTGGTCGAAGAAGTCCTCCACGATCACAGAACTCTTATTCTGGGCAAATTTGAACCAGGTGTCAAATCCAGGAGGAGGGTGGCGGCCTCGGCGTTTTCGATATGCTTGCGCAGCTTCCTCAACAGACTTGGACTCCTTGGAAAGGAGTTCGGCGAACGTGAGCTGAGCATCGTATATTAATTTGCCAATCGGGTGGCCATCATCTGGGTTGCTCGGGGTGGTTGGGGCGGTGGTAGACGACGACCCCTTTCCAGATTTGTCATTAGATTCGGGGAGCTTGTCGAAGGGCTCGTCCAATGTAATCACGGGCTTCGGGTTAGGGTTCGGTTCTAACAGCTGCGGCCGGTCATTGTGATCTGGCTCTTGTTGGGATTCCGTTACGGTATGCGGAGCCTGAGGGACTGGGCGAAATTGCTCTCCCGAATTGTGACTGGAAATGTAGAGCAAGGCGAATATTAGGAGGAGGGCGAGAGCATAGCGAATGACGCCAGAGGGCCGCCGCGGAGGGAAGATTGGGGAGAAGCCTTTAGGCATGATCAACCGCTCGTGATGGTGATCTGTCGACTAGTCAGGGCCACGAGGGCCAGTCGAGAGGCGGATCAACTTTGCCTCAAGTTTGCGATCGGTTCAGGAGGTGTGTTGGAGGGGGTCTCCAGGGGGTCTTCGATTGAACCTGTCGCATGTGAAGGAAATTCGGCAACGCTCTCGGGATACGATGGCAGGATATGGATTATCGTAGGTATCGGGGGCTGAATGCGATTGATGCTAAATATATACGAGAGATTCGGATCGTGGCTTTCGCAGGTCGTCGGGTTACTCAGGTCGAGGGGCGAAATTGGGGGTCGACGGAGATTGACGGACTGGTGTCTCGAACCAAAGAAGAAAAAAAGAGGACGCGGCAACGAGGCAGAAGAAGAAAAAAGGAGAAGGATGCCAAGTTGGATGGCCCAGGTACAACGAGGAAGCAGAAAATGAGTGTGGGAGAGCGAGAGTAAGAATGCGCAAGCCGACGAAGGCGTGATGACCGCAAGTCAAGTGAACTGACCAGGAAGGAGTGCAGCAAACAACCAGGTGTGGCAAGTGCCAGGAAGCAGCGTAGCAAATCAGAACAGTAGCACTTGCCTCGAGCGAGCAGAATCCATCTATGCACCCACTCAGAGGGAAGGAGCGGTTTGACGGGGGCCACCAGATACAGATACATCCCGAGACACACAGAGTGCGCGCAGGTACATGTACCTGTGCCCCGTGCCTGTCCCCCGGCAACACCTACCTGCCACCAAACCCACCTACAAGTACCGCCACAGTGCAACAAATCCCGTTGCAAATTCCCTACTAGTGCTACATACGGTGATTGCGTGGCTTTCCCTGGCTGCTGCCCTCTAGCCTGCTCCATTTAGCTCGTTGGCCAAGGTCGATCTACCAGGTACCGCTACATGGTAGCATTGCGGCCCAGTACCTGGCTGACCCCTATTCTGGCCAGAGGCAGTTCGTGGGGAGGCTTATTAGTGCCTGTAGTCAGCAGCTCGCGATTATTCTGCATCATAAGGTACATATATAAGAGTGCCATAATACAGGCTACACTACGCGCAATATCGCGTGGCTCTGTTGTATTATGGTGCCTGCCCCGGGTTGATTGTGCGGCCTCCTTCTGGCTCTCCTCCTGGCTTCTGGCCCCCAGGTCATTGACGGAGGCGCCCTGCTCAGCGGATAGCCGGCCGGCGTCAGGTCTCGGGTGCTTATCGCAATCTGATACCACACCCCAAAACAGCCGCCGGGACAGAATAAGAATGTGAGAGGCAAGGCAAAACACACCTGTGACAAGAGGAGGAACGCATAACGAACATCAACCTCCCTGCGTTGTGGCAACCAATTTCAATTCCGTGATTGCTAGCGGTGGCCAGTGTCTTTCACCTGGAAGAGTGGGGATCTGAAGAATTAATGCGTGGATTCCCCTCCGGAGTATACGCACAGTATGTACAGTATTTCTGCCAACAGCATGGCCATCACCCCAAGACCGTCCTGACTCTTGTGGGTTTGTGTGGAGATGGCACAGGCATGGTACATGACGGGCGGGGCAGGCAATCTGCAATCCGCCAATCCCTCTTTGAATTCAAGGTGAGGGCCAGTGAACGGTTCCCGAACTCTGTTGCGAGAGCCCGGCCTCTGGACAAGAATCATTCCTTCTCTTAGCGCTCGATGGGAAAGCTTGGCTCATCTGGTGTGCGCGGGTATCCAGGGACGCATCCTCCCTATTGGCTCTGGACAGATTTTACCAGACGACCCCGTTAACGTGTTTGGCTGTTGGGCCTGTTGAAGAAGACGATCGTT